ATGCATGTTGTTTGTTTTCAGCAACTGCTTTATTGAGCTGTAATTCTCCTACCATATAATTTACCTAATTAAAGAGTACAAGTCATTGGTTTTTATTTTTTCAATTTTTAATTTTATTTATTTTTGGCTGCATTGGGCTTTCTCTAGTTGCAGGAGCTACTTTCTCTAGAGCAGGGGCTACTATCGAGTTGCAGTGCTAGTGCTGGTCAATGTGGGGTCTTCTCTTGTGGTGGAGTACAGGCTCTAGATCACATGGGCTCAGTAGTTTTGACACATGGGTTTAGTTGCTCCATGGCATGTGAAATCCTCCTGACCAGGGATTGAATCCATGTCCCCTGCATTGGCAGGCAGATTTTTAACCACTGGGCCACAAGGGAAGACCACAAATCAATTGTTGTTCAGTTGCGCAGGCATGCCTGGCTCTTTGCAAGCCCATGGACTACAGCATGCCAGGCTTCCCTGTCCATCACCAACTCCTGGGGCTTGCTCAAACTCATTTCCATTGAGTCAGTGATGCCATCCAACCATCTCATCTTCTATTATCCCCTTCTTCTCCTGCCTTCAATCTTTCAAAAATTAAGTGTCTTTTCTAATGAGTCAGTTCTTTGTATCAGGTAGCCAAAGTATTGGAGCTTCAGCTTCAGCGTCAGTCCTTACAAAGAATATTCATGACTGATTTCCTAAAATTGACTGGTTTGATCTTGCAGGCCAAGGGACTCTCAAGAGTCTTTTCCAACATCACATTTCAAAAGCATTGATTCTTTGGCGCTCAGCTTTCTTTGTGGTCCAACTCTCACATCCATATGTGACTACTGGAAAAACCATAGGTTTGACTGTAAGGACACTTGTTGGCAGAGTAATGTCTCTGCTTTTTAGTATGCTGTTTAGGTTTGTCATAGGTTTTCTTCCAAGGAGCAGAAGTCTTTTAATTTCATGGCTACAGTCGCCATCTACAGTGATTTTGGAGCCCAAGAAAATAAAGTCTGTCACTGATTCCATTGTTTCCCCATCTATTTGCCATGAAGTTATGAGACCAGATGCCATGATCTTCGTTCTTTGAATGTTGAATTTTAAGCCACCTTTTCACTCTCGCCTTTCACTTTCATCAAGAGGTTCTTTACTTTCTCTTTGCTTTTTGCCATAAGGGTGGTATCATCTGCATATCTGAGGTTATTGATTTTCACCTGGCAATCTTGATTCCAGCTTGTGCTTTATCCAGTCTGGCATTTCTAATGATGTACTCTGCATATAAATTAAATAAGCAGGGTGACCATGTACAGCTTTGATGTACTCCTTTCCAAATTTGGAACCTATCTGTTGTTCCCTGTCCAGCTCTGACTGTTGCTCCTTGACCCGCATACAGATTTCTCAGGAAGCAGGTAAGGTGGTCTGGTATTCCCATCTCTTGAAGAATTTCCCACAGTTTGTTGTCATCCACATAGTCAAAGGCTTTGGTGTAATCAGTGAAGAAAATAGATGTTTTTCTGGAACTCTCTTGCTTTTTCTATGATCCACTGAATGTTGGCAATTTGATCTCTGGTTCCTCTGCCTTTTTTATATCCAGCTTGAACATCTGGAAGTTCTTTGTTCGTGTACTGTTGAAGCCTAGGTTGGAGAATTTTGAGCATTACCTTGCTAGTGTGTGAGATAAGTGAAATTGTGCAGTAGTTTGAACATTCTTTAACATTGCCTTTCTTTGGGATTGGAACAAAAACTGACCTTTTCCAGTCCTGTGGCCACTGCTGAGTTTTCCAAATTTGCTGACATATTGAGTGCAGCACTTTAATAGCATCATTTTTAGGATTTGAAATAGCTTAGCTGGAATTCCATAACCTCCACTAACTTTTTTCATAGTGATGCTTCTTAAAGCCCATTGATTTTGCACTTCAGGATGTATGGCTCTTAGTGAGTAATCACACCATCATGGTTATCTGGGTTATTAAGATCTTTTTTGTATAGTTCTTCTGTGTATTCTTGCCACCTCTTTTTAATATCTTCTGTTTCTGTTAGGTTCATACTGTTTCTTTCCTTTATAGTGCCCATTTTTGCATGAAGTGTTCCCGTGGTATTTCTAATTTTCTTGAAGAGATCTCTAGTTGTTTCTATTCTATAATTTTCCTCTATTTCTCTGAATTGATCACTTAGGAAGGCCTTCTTATTTCTCCTTGCTATTCTTTGGAACTCTGCATTCAGATGGATATATTGTTCCTTTTCTCCTTTGCCTTTAGCATCTCTTCTTTTCTCAGTTATTTGTAAGGCCTCCTCAGACAACCATTTTGTCTTTTTGCATTTCTTTTGCTTGGGGACGGTCTTGATCACTGCCTTCTGTACAGTGTTATGAACCTCCGTCCATAGTTCTTCAGGCACTCTGCCTATCAGATCTAATCCCTTGAATCTATTTGTCACTTCCACTATATAGTCATAAGGGATTTGATTTCTGCTGCTGCTGCTGCTTCTAAGTCGCTTCAGTCATGTCCGACTCTTAGTGACCCCATGGACTACAGCCTACCAGTCTCCTCCATCCATGGGGTTGTCCAGGCAAGAGTACTGGAGTGGGTTGCCATTGCCTTCTCCAAGGGGTTTGACTTAGGTCATACCTGAATGGTTTAGTGGTTTTCCCTACTTTCTTCAATTTAAGTCTGAATTTGGCGATAAGGAGTTCATGATCTGAGCCACAGTCAGCTCCGGGTCTTGTTTTTGCTGACTATATAGAGCTTCTCTGTCTATGCCTGCAAAGAATATAGTCAATCTGATTTTAGTATTGACCATCTGGTGATGTCCATGTGTAGAGTCATCTTTCGTGTTGTTGGAAGAGGGTATTTGCTATGACCAGTGCATTCTCTTGGCAAAACTCTGTTAGCCTTTGCCCTGCTTCATTTTGAACTCCAGGGCCAAACTTGCCTGTTACTCCAGGTATCTCTTGACTTCCTGCCTTTGCATTTCAGTCCCCTATTATGAAAAGGACATGTTTTTTTGGCGTTAGTTCTAGAAGGTCTTGTGGGTCATCACAGAGCATTCAACCTCAGCCCCTTCAGCATTAGTGGTTGGGGCATAGACTTGGATTACTGTGATACTGAATGGTTTGCCTTGGAAATGAACAGAGATCATTCTGTTGTTTTTGAGATTTCACCCAATTACTGCGTTTTGGACTCTTTTGTTGACTATGAGGGTTACTCCATTTCTTCTAAGGGATTCTTGCCCACAGCAGTAGATATAATGGTCATCTGAATTAAATTTCCCTGATTCAAGTACATTTTAGTTTACTGATTCCTAAAATACTGATGTTCATTCTTGCCCTCTCCTGTTTGACCACTTCCAATTTATCTTGATTCATGGACCTAACATTCCAGGTTCCCATGCAATGTTGTTCTTTACAGCATCAGACTTTACTTCCATCACCTGTCACAGCCACAGCTGGGCAATGTTTTCGCTTTAGCTCCATCTCTTCATTCTTTCTGGAGTTATTTTGTCATTCTTCTCCAGTAGCATATTGGGCACATAAGGACCTGGGGGGTTCATCTTTCAGTGTCATATCTTTTTGTCTTTTCATACTGTCATGGGGCTCTCAAGGGAAGAATACTGAAGTGGCTTGCCATTCCCTTTTCCAGTGGACCACATTTTTTCAGAACTCTCCACAATTACCCATCAGTCTTGGGCCTCCCTACATGGCATGGCTCATAATTTTTTTTTCACTTATTTTTATTAGTTGGAGGCTAATTACTTTACAATATTGTAGTGGTTTTTTGCCATACATTGACATGAATCACCCATGGATTTACATGTGTTCTCCATCCCGATCCCCCCTCCTGCCTCCCTCTGGCATGGCTCATAATTTCATTGAGTTAGACAAGGCTGTGGTCCATGTGATCCATTTGGTTGGTTTTCTGTGATTGTGGTTTTCATTCTGTCTGCCCTCTGATGGATGAGGATAAGAGGCTTTTGGAAGCTTCATCTGTTCAAGATGGTGGAGTAGAAGGACATGTGCTCATCTTCTCCTGCAAGAACTCCAAAATTGCAACTCTCTGCTAAACAACCATTGACAGGATAATGTTGGATCCCACCAAAAAACAATACACCATGTCCAAGGGCAAAGGAGAAGCCCCAGTAAGATTGTAGGAAGGGCAAAATCACATATAGAATCAAACTCCATATCTGCCAGAGATGCTGGAGGGCTCAAACAAAGCCTTGTGCACACCAGGACCCAGAAACCCTACAGAGACTGAGTCAGACCTGCCTTTGAGTGCTTGAGTGTCTCCTGTAGAGACTTGGGTCAGCAGTGGCCTGCCACTGGGATAAGGCCTCTGGCTGCAGCAGATCTGGCAGGCATGGTGTGTGATATAAGTCCTCTTGGAGTAGGTTGCCTTTAGCCCCCACTATAGAGCCACTGAGCTGACAACTCACAAACTGGAGAACAATTATACCAAAAAAGTTCTCACACTGTTATAAAAGTTCTAGGCCCCACAAAAGATTTCACAACCTGTTAAAGGGACTGAGAACCCCCAGGGAATTTGACTTTGAAGGCCAGTGGGATTTGATTACAGAACTTCCATAGGACTGGGGAAACAGACTCTTGGAGGGCACAAACAAAACCTCGTGTGCACCAGGACCCAGAAGAAAAGAGCAGTGACCCCACAAAAGACTAAGCCAGACTTGCCTGTCAGTGTCCAGGGGTCTTTGGTGGAGGCGTGGGTCAACACTGGCCTGCCACAAGGTCAGGGGCACTGAATACAACAGTTCTGGGAGCTGCCGCTTGCTGGCATAAGTCCTTTTGAAGGAGATCACCATTACCCCTACCATAGTTTGGCCTAAGGCCAAACTACAGAGAGAGAACACAGTCCTGCCCATCAACAGAAAATTGAATTAAAGATTTACTAAGCATGGGCCCCGCCCCGCCCCCGCCGGCCGGGGTGCTCTAGGAGCTGCTCGGAGACCCTCTGCACCCGTGCGAACATGGCACTGCAAGCGGTGCAGAGCGTGCGGGAATCAGCAATTTTGCACAGGAAGCTTTGGGAGATGTTGTTTACTGTAGTCTGCCTGAAGTTGGGACAAAGTTGAATAAACAAGAGGAGTTTGGTGCTTTGGAAAGTGTGAAAGCTGCTAGTGAACTCTATTCCCCTCTATCAGGAGAAGTAACGGAAATTAATAAAGCTCTAGCAGAAAATCCAGGACTTGTCAACAAGTCTTGTTATGAAGATGGTTGGCTGATCAAGATGACATTCAGTAACCCTTCAGAATTAGATGAACTAATGAGTGAAGAAGCATATGAAAAATACATAAAATCTATTGAGGAATGAAAATGGAACCCCTAAATAAACTACTTTGAAACAACTTAATCTAGCATAGTTGTCTTAAATTAGTGGTGGATAGATATTTAAAAAGCAACTTTTAGCAAAAGAAACTACTTGTAACAATGTTTCCTGAAGAAAATACCCCTTAGCTTTCTAATGCCTTCAGATAAACACTGTATCTTTTCCACAGCATCCTGTGATTTTTAGGCTAGGCTCCAGTTATACTATTCAGAATTCCTGAAATTATCTCTGATAAAACTAATTACAAAAATTATGTAATTCAAAGATAACATGGTTATCTTATACCTTATATGACATTGTAACTTGCTTACAGCTATCCTTGGATTTGGGTCATAATGATCTTCCCACTAGAAATAACTGGCAGTGGAGAAAAGTTTGTTAGTTGTATAGTGTCCAGTGAAGAATATTACTGTCTTAACTTTGCAATATACTATGTTTGCTGGTGCTATTTTTATACAATGAAGCAACAGGCTTGCAGGAGAATAAACAATTTAATAATAAAATAACAACAACAAAAAAGATTTACTAAGCATGGCCCCACTCATCAGAGCAAGACTGAGATTCCCCCACAGCCAGTCCCTCCCATCAGGAAGCTTCCACAAGCCTCTTATCCGTATCCATCAGAGGGCAGACAGAATGAAAACCACAATCATAGCCCAACTCTTTGCAGCCCCATTAATTACAGCACGCCAGGCTTCCCTATCCTTCACCATCTCCTAGAGTTTTCTCAAACTCATGTCCATTGAGTCATGGTGCCATCCAACCATCTCATCCTCTGTCGCTCCCTTCTCCTCCTTTCCCAGCACCAGGGTCTTTTCCAATGAGTCAGTTCTTTGCATCAGATGGTCAAAGTATTGGAGCTTCAACTTTAGCATCAGTCCTTCCAGTGAATATTCAGTGTTGGTTTCCTTTAGGATTGACTGGTTTGATCTTGCAGTTCAAGGGACTCTGAAGAGACTTCTCCAGCACCACAGTTTCAAAGCATCAACCTGGGCCTCCTGCATCGCAGGCAGATTCTTTACTGTCTGAGCCACCAGGGAAGCCCTCACAAATCAGTGGTTTTTAATATATTCAGAGTTGTGCAACAATTATTACCATTAATTTTAGAACATTTTCATCACCCCCAAAGGAAACCCTACACCCTGTAGCCGTTACCTTCCAACCTTCTTAGCCCTATGGAACCACTTTTCTACTTTCTATCCCTATGGATTTACCTATTCTGGGCATTCCATGTAAATGAAATTGTATGTTATCTTTTGTGACTGACTTCTTTCGCTTAGTTTTTGAGGTTCACCCATGTTGTAGCATCTGTATTTCATTCCCTTTTTATGGCTGAATAATATATCCATTATATGGATATATTACATATATCAGTTAAATCAGTTTGGTTTTGTTTCCACCTTTTAGTTTTCATGAATAAAGCAGCTGTGAACATTTGCATTCGAGTTTTTGTGTGGACATGTCTTTTATTCTCTTAGATATAATATACAAAGAAGTGGAATTTCTGGGCTAAATGATAACTCTGTTGGACAAACTGCCATGCTATTTTCCAAAATGGTGCCACCATTTGCATTCTCTCCAGCAATGAGTGAAGTTTATGATTTCTCTGAATCCTTTCCAATACTTGCTATGACCTGATTTTTTTATTCTAATCACTTTAGTGCAGTAGATGTCATAGCATTTCAACTATTAGGGTAAATAGCTTTTTCTAGTACCTGCCCTCCAGCTATGCAATGTTGACCTCCCCTTCTTTCCAGATGACAGTAGCTGTCCCTTCATCAATCTCTAGATAAGCATATACAACTTTTCAGTTTACTTCTGGTTATTAAACGTGTCTCATTCTGGTATTAAACACTCTATCCTATTTGCTGACAAAAATGCAACCTCACGTCTGATTCAAAACTCTCTCCTTCCAGAACTGTGTCTCTGAATGGTATTTTGGGGGTGTGAGACGGCTATGTCATCAGCCATCATACCCCTTTCTTCTGTTCTGTGTTCTGGCTTCTCTGAGGGGAAAATGAGAGGGTACCTGTCTCCTCATCTGGCATGGAGACTGGTGGTCTCTGGTGGTCAGTGCTGCTACTCCAGTCAATACATCTGGCTCTTAGTGCCCTCTGTGTGGAGAATGCCCAAAGGCAGCCTGTCCTGGGGGTGCGTTGCTGAGTTCTTTGTGGGCCTTCTCACTGCACAGTTCTCTGGCATTGGAGACCTGGCTCTGTCTTCCCCCACCAGCCCTGCCAGGACCAGCCACCTCACAGCTTCTCCTGTCCAGGTCTCCAGCTTGGGATCTCCACTCCTAACGGCAGCTCCTCCTTGGTCTCACAGGGGATAAAACGTGGGGCAGGAACAGCCTCTCTCTGTGGCCGCTCTATGTCTCCACAAAGGCTGAGGACTCCACACCTCTCATTCATTTCTCTTTCACTGCCGGGGACTTTCTGAACTGAGAATGTAGGGGCATTCACCTTTTCCCTGCAGCTTTGGACTTCAACAGTGATACCAAGAAGAATCCCAGGGTACCTCTTATTTCCTGTTTTGTGGGGCAGGGAGGAGGAGGCCTTCTGGTGTACTTGGCCAGGGGGAGGAAGAGGTGCTGCTCAGGAGACTTAGGCAAGGCAAACAACCCTTGACTTCCACAACTGTAAATTCGAATGACATTCAAATAAAAATGTATGGAGGGCATTTCTGAGACCTAGATGTGGGTCCAGGGGATTGAGAAAGGCCTCCAGATGAGCTCCAGAACTGCGCTTCACACCCATTCTGGATGGGATCAGTTTGCATTTGTTGTTTCCTATGCTTCCTTGGTGGCTCATTTGGTAAAGAATCTGCCTACAATGCAGGAGGCCCAGGTTGGATCGCTGGGTGGGAAGATCCCCTGGAGAACGAAATGGCAACCCATTAAAATATTCTTTCCTGGAGAGCTCCGTGGACAGGGGAGCCTGTGGGGCTCCAGTCCACAGGGTCACAAAGAGTTTGACACGACTGAGCGACTTTGACTTTTCTTCACTTCATGCCATTTCTCAGGGTCTCAGCATGGTGGCTAAGAGCACAACAACCTGATCCACACTGCCTGGCTTCAGATCTCTTCTCTTGTTTTACCAGCTGTGGGCCTGGGGAGAGTGGCTGAGTATTCTAAGCTTTGGGGTCCTCATCTGTAAAATGTGAGTATTAATCCTGTCCACCTCATAGGCTTGTGGGGACTGAAGAAAGACTGCATGTGTGTCTTAGTCTGTTAGGCTGTTATAACAGAATACCTTAGTCTGGGTTGCTTATAAACAACAGAAATGTATTTCTCAGGGTTCTGGAGTCTTGAAGTCTGAGGTCAAAGTGATGGCAGATTAGGTGTTTGGTGAAAGCTTTCTTACTGGTTCATAGATGGCCATTTCTTGCTGTCATCACATGGTGGAAGGGGTGAGGGGGGTCTCTTTTTCTCCCCCTTTTTTCTTTTAAAAGAGATTTTTTATTTTGTATTGGTGTATAGCCGATTAACAATGTTGTGATAGTTTCAGGTAGATAGCAAAGGGACTCTGCCATACTTACACATGTATCCATTCTCCCCCAAACTCGAGGGAGTCTGTTTTAAGAGCACTAATCCCATTCATGAGGGCTCCATTATCATGATCTAATCACCTCCCAAGGGCCCTACCTCCTAATACCATAATGTTGGGGGTTAGAATGTAATGTTTGAACTTTGGAAGGAGACAAATATTCAGTAGTAATGTGCCTTATTAGGAGTCTGTACAAATTAAGAATTCAATTCTTCCTCCTGCAACTCCAACACAATTTGCTCTCAATGAATAATTTAACATGTGGATTTAAATTACTGCCTTTGCTAACTGCAGGATAAAAAGTTATTTATTACTATAGAGGAAACTGATCAGCAATGGAAGAAAGGCAGTATAGAGAGATGTGACAGTTGCCTTCAGAAGCTTCTTACCCCTTAACCTGTCTACTTATCTCTTCAGCAAACAAAGTAGGCCCTCTATGCATGATCTTTGGCCAATCACAAGGACACAAGATGTAGTAGGGATATAAAAGGGAATCTGGTGGACTTCCCTGGTGGTCCAGTTAAGAATCCGCCTGTCAGTGCAAGGGACATGGGTTCTATCCCTGGTCCGGGAAGATCCCACATGCCCAGGGACATCTAAGCCCATGTGCCAAAACTGCAGAATCTCTGAGTTGCTGCTACTGAGTCTGCACGTCCTAGAGCCTGTGCTCTGCAACAAGAGTAGCCACTGCAATGAGAAACCTGTGCATTGCAACTAGACAGTAGTCCTTGTTCTCTGAAGCTAGAGAAAGCCTGCACACAGCAACAAAGACCCAGCACAGTCAAAAATAAAATAAATAAGTAAAATAACCTTTAACGGAAGGGGGATCTGGTGCTTAAAGATGCTTGGCGTAGAGCCATATTGCAAAATCCAAATGTAGCCTGATTTGCATGATATAATAGGGACAAGAAGGACATATTTTAAAAAGCTCTATATTGTGTTAGATGTAGAAAAATAGTGGAAGCACTTTTAACTTTGTTTAAATGTACTATAAACTTTTTCAGAAGAGAAATCAAATTAAAACTGCCCATTGCAAAAATGAAGACTGCTGGGATTTTATGTTTTGGAAAACCCAAAGAGGGAGGAAAAGAATTTTTAAATGTTCATTTTGAGTTACATCTCAAGTGTATGATGTCATAAATATAATTAATGAACTGAATGTCTCCCACTTTTACTGATTTATGACATTCCATAATGTTCTTAAACAAGTTAGAGACTAGACCTCTTACAGGTAGCAGGCTATCATTTAAATGAGTGAAGATTAGCTCTGTAACATGAAAATAACACAAAAAGAGAATCTGGCACCTAAAAACAGAGCAAAAGTGGGTGTGTTTTGTCTTACTTGGCACCTTCACCTCTGTTAATCAACCAACTAACCGGAAGCTCTTTGCTTAGTTCACACTGTGAAAATTCAGTTTTCTTATCGTATTACAGACAGCA